CCAGGGCCTCCTTCCAGACATCTCACCGTACCTTTGATGAGGTTAAAAATGCAGCTGATGGTAACGGGCTGTTTATGTGGAGAGCCGAGATGGGACTCTTTAAGATAAGTCAGCTTGATGAGAAACATCAAATGGATGCTGGGTGGTGGTGGGGGGCGGGCGGGAGAAGAACCCAATTCAGTTATTTAATATTCGGGAAGGGGGCACCCTCTTTTTCTGAGCTTTCAAGACACCGTACTCTTGAAACTTTCTTTCAGGTGTTTAGTTTTAATGAGGCCTGCTTTTTGTCCCCCACTAACCTCCGCCCACCCCTCCCGTGCCTCCCCCTGCCCCCGAAGCCTGCAAAGTACTTAACGTTTCTGGCTAAATTATGTCTCCTGGCTCCGGCTTCTGATTAAATGGTTCGTCGTAAGAAGGGAAAGCCAGAAATCGTGTAACCAGAGTCTCTGTAAAAGAGAAGCCTCCATTCCCACCGTTCCCCCCCCAGCCCCCTCCTGCTACCGCTGCGTGATTATTTCTTCTGCTCAAATTGATCCACTCCGTGAATTATGTCTGTTATGTTTTCTTGTTAAACTGGATACTTTACATTCGTTTTCGTTTGTTCCTCTTTTAGACTCCTGAGCCGAGCCCGAATGGAGGGCAGGAGGCTTTGGAAAGGAAAGGGCTAAGAAAAAAAACTCACACCTCAGAGCGGTGAATGGAGCACGCTGAGTGGAAACAGGTTACCTGAGAGGGACCCAATTATCGGGTGCACAAAACCTACCTCCAGCAACCCACAGGGAATGCAACGCCTTGGCAGTAGAAAGTGATTTATGGAGACGCCCGTAGGGTTTTCAAGGCAAGAGGCATTCAGAGGTGGTTGGAATGCTTCAAAGTATTCTTTTTAAATTAATTAATTGGGGTTTTTTTACTTCATTTATATTCTGCCTTCCTCCCCACTGGGTTTGTAGGCCCACTCGGGATGACCTCAGGCCAATCACACGCTCTGCCTCACAGGGTTGTTGTGTGAAGAAAACTGAGAATGAATAATGATATTAGTAAGGTAAAGGTTTCCCTTGTTTGAAAGCCAGTCGAATCTGACTCCAGGGGGCGGTGCTCATCTCCGTTTCCAAGCTGAAGAGCCAGCGCTGTCTGAAGACGTTTCCATGCTCATGTGGCCGGCATGACTAAGCGGTGAGGTACACGGAACACTGTTACCTTCCCACCAAAGTGGTACGTATTTATCTACTTGCAATTTCTTGCTTTCGAACTGCTAGGTTGGCAGGAGCTGGGGCTAGAGACGGGAGCTCACTCTGTCACGCAGCACCCGGGTCTCGAACTGCCGAACTACCGACCTTCCAGTATGCAACAGCATCTTAACCTCTGAGCCACCGTGGCCCTAATGATATTAAGAGGGAGTGGCTAAATTCTCAGGGACCCAGGTCTCAGGGGACCAGGGCTAGGGCTTTTTCGGTGGCGGCTCCTACCTGGTGGAATGAGCTCTTGGGGGAGATCCGGGCCCTGCGGGACCTTGAGCAGTTCCGCAGGGCCTGCAAGACGGAGCTCTTCCGCCATGCTTTTGAGTAGGACCCGCCACCCTACTATACCACCACCGTCAAGACATCTGAATGGAGGCATTGACGGGGCCCTAGGAAGAACTTGGAATTACATCGGAAAGGCCGTCGCCACTGGATATGTACGCTGAGAATACCAGCTCGAGTCGTGGGGATACCATCTTGGATCTAGGACACTAGTAACTGGATAGAGAACTTTAGTCTTGATGTTTTGATGTTTTTATTATGTTTTTATATGTTTTTATTTATGGCTAGACTAATGATCTGGCCTCTGTTAGCCGCCCTGAGCCCACTGGGGAGGGCGGGATATAAGTGTAAAAATAAATAAATATAAATAAATGGGGGGGCCTAGGGAGCCAAACAAAGTGCTCATGGATGGGAATGTAAAGCTACGTCCTGGTGAGAAAAGTGACGGGGAGAAAAGCATGATAGGGCAAATTGACATCCTTGCTCAACATGCAGTGAAGAGCAGATAGTTTTGCAAGAAATTTGCTTTGAAATTTTAATCCAGTGACATCTTCTAACTATTATTTATGGGATTAAGTCACTTTAAACGTACAACAATACTTCCATTAAGGTTTCCGCTGACACTGTCCCCACGGTGTGTCCAAAGCCCCCCACCAACCAAAACCACATTTCTAATGACAGACCTGCAATCATCATTATGAGATGAAGGTCTTTGCCAGGACTGTACCATTTCCAGCGGCGGTTGAGGAGACTCATACAGTGAGATACACTTTCTGTAGGAAACAAATAAACTTTCCTGCACTTTGAAAATCAATGTGCCAGAGAGAAGGCTAGTATAGGATCCTGGAATAGTTTTCTATGTTTTCTTCATCTGTTTATTTAGGATAGCCAGCCATCCAGGTCGGGCTTGGAGACCTCTAGCTTTTACAGCTCATCTCCAGACTACAAAGATTGGTTCCCTGGGAGAAAATGGCTGCTCTGGTGACTATACCATTGTACCCCGCTATGGTCGCTCCCCTCCCCAAACCCCGTCCTCTCCAGGCTCTACCCCTGAAAGCTCCAGGTATTTTCTATTACCTGCGGTGGCTCAAGTGGTTAAGACGTTGAACTGCAAGCTGTGGAAGGTCAGTAGTTCAGCAGTTCGAGACCCGGGTGCCGCATGATGGAGTGAGCTCCTGTCTCTAGTTCCAGCTCCTGCCAACCTAGCAGTTCGAAAGCAAGAAATTGCAAGTAGATAAATAGGGACCACTTCGGTGGGAAGGTAACAGCGTTCCGTGCGCCTTGGTGTTTAGTCATGTCGGCCACATGACCACAGAAACGTCTTCGGACAGCACTGGCTCTTCGGCTTTGAAACGGAGATGAGCACCGCAGGTACCACTTCAGTGGGAACGTAACAGCGTTCCGTGCGCCTTGGTGTTTAGTCATGCCGGCCACATGACCACGGAAACGTCTTCGGACAGCGCTGGCTCTTCGGCTTTGAAACGGAGATGAGCACCGCAACCCTAGAGTGGGATTCGACTGGCTTTCGAGCAAGGGAACCTTTGCCTTTACCTTTTATTGCACGTCACCCACATCTGCGAGGCCGGACCTCCACAAAGGTTTACCACCTCCATCAGAAACAGGACAAAGCCAATACATATTTAGAGGTTTGGCGGATGAGTCCTAAAATGCAAGCATGATGCAAAACGACCCATCCAAATAGCTTGAAAATAACTAACAGCCAGTTGAATTTTGATCCAGTGACCATGCTGGTTGGTTATGAACATGACAGTTACAGCCTACAGATGTATTTCCATTTCGGAAACGCCCCCCGGGCCCCCCCACTAATTCAGAATTCAACAATGGCTATTTGCTCAGCCTCTGCATAAATATGGGAGAATCCCGGATGACAGAGGTTTACAGAATTATGCATGGGATAGAGAAGGTAGAGAACAAAGTACTCTTCTCCCTTTCTCACAGTACAAGAAGGCGTGGGCACTCACTGAAATTAATGCGTAGTAGGTATAATACAGATAAAAGGGAGTACTTCTTCACCCAGTGATTAATTAGTATGTGGAATTCACTGCCGCAAGAAGTGGTGGTGGATACACGCATAGACAGCTTCCAGAGGGGACTGGATAAACATATGGAGCAGTTGTCCATGACTGGCTATTAGATGGTATAGATGAAACACTATGTCCGGGGCATCAATGCCCTGTATTCTTGGTGCTTGGGGGGGGGGGCAACAGTGGGAGGGCTTGTGGTCCTGGCCTCGCTGCTGGACCTCTTGATAGCAACTGGGTTTTGGCCACAGTGTGACACAGAATGTTGGACTAGATGGGCCATTGGCCTGATCCAACATGGCTTCTCTTTTGTTCTTAAGTTCCCAGCAGAGCGTGACTTAATTTTGAAAGTCCTGGGTTGTATCACCAAACTATTGTGAGAAGTCAGGACTTGGCAATGGAACCACAAGAAGGAGTGGTTGCTGGCAATTTGGAAGGGAATTCACTACACAGGGAGGGGGATAAGATGATCCCCCCCTTTCTGTGGGTCCTCCTGCCCCCCCCCCCGAGCAGCATTGGGTGAAGGCAGATAACTCACACTTCAGTGACGGAAGTCCTTCCGTCACTCAAGACGTAGGTCAGGATACAAGCCTATGTAGGTGTGCTCCTAATCAATGTTCCCTCTAAGCTGTGGAATCTTGTGAGCAAAAATTCTACTTTGTGAGCAACTGGCATTAAAGTTGTGAGCGAGTGATTTGGCTTCTGCATAAATTAGCTTGCTCTGAGGCCATCCTTCCTGGGCTAAGACAAAAATGTGTGAGCCGGAGGCTAAAAAACTGTGAGCTAGCTCACACTAACTCAGCTTAGAGGGAATACTGGTCCCAATACTGTAACAAACATGTTACTTCAATAACTAAAGATATCAGCCAGAAGCATGGTAAGAGGGACAGAAACAGGTATTTACATTTAAGATAAAAGTAAAGGTTTCCCTTACTCAAAAGCCAGTCGAATCCGACTCTAGGGGGTGGTGCTCATCTCCGTTTCCAAGTCAAAGAGCCAGTGCTGTCCAAAGACATTTCCATGGTCATGTGGCTGCCGTTACCTTCCCACCAAAGTGGTAACTATTTATCTGCTTGCAATTTCTTGCTTTTGAACTGCTCAGTTGGCAGGCGCTGGGACCAGAGACGGGAGCTCACTCCATCACGCGGCACTCGGGTCTCGAACCGCCAAACTACAGCTCTTACGGTCTGCAGCTCAGCATCTTAACCTCTGAGCCACCGCGGCCCTATTTACAATGAATCCTCCTCAAAATGAAAATGATGCAGCAATGACAAAAAACACTTATGAAAGGAGGAGGAAATACCACTGGCAAGTAGCGTGTTTTCCTTTTGGTTTTTTGGCCATGTGGATTACTCTGGTATGCATAGATGTACTCTGCCACTTATATGCCTTTTTCTCGAAGAAAGGGATGGGCCCATTACGGCTCCTATTGGCTTACCTCCCCAGCCATTCCTTGCGCAGTTCGTGTCGTTGGATAAGAAGGGGCAAGACGCAGTCAATCCTTTCCTTCTTTTGTTCTTCCATCTGTTCTTTCCTGATTTCGCCGAGCAGTAGGCTCGTCTTGGGGGTGAGGGAAGAGAAAACGCCATAAATATTACCATCCCCAAAAGAAGAAACAAAAGCATAAAATTAATTAAAAAGCCCATAAGCAAATGCAGACAGTAAATCAATGCTCCCCCTTTTATCACATCGCCACTGCTTACAAATCAATACAGTAAATGATGGTCAAAAATGGCGACGATAGACTTGGATTTCAACAAAAGTGGATATAAAATACAGTAAACCTTAATGCTCCTTTGCCCAAAATAACAGAATGCACTGGGCATTTTTGCCAGCTGAATTATTGGGTTGTTATTCTTGCTTCGGTAACTTATCGTTACCAACTATGTCCAAACACAGTTTGTTCTCTCCCCCCCCCTTAAGATTGCAAATAAATATTTTCGGCTTTCCATATATTGCTTCTGAGATAAACTGGGGCTGTCTTAGAAGTATGATGAATGTGTGTAGGGGATCAGAATGCGGAAGCAAGTTCGACCCCGGGCACTGAAACACATGTCTAGAGCATGCGAGCCTAGAGTTATCGTTGCATGATTGGGAAGAATGGGGTGAATACACAGGCTTTATACATCTGTCTTCTACATTGTCATCCCACCGTTCTTCCGAGGAAGTTCACTTGTTCGGCTGAGCTACCTGGTCGGTAGATTAGACTGAGAAAGAGACCGGCTTCAAGTCACTCGCTGAAGTTCACAACAAAATGGGGACTCAAACCTTGACCTCCCGGATCCTTATCAGGTGATGTACTCTTTGACCTACCACCCAGACCACCCAAGTAGCCAGTCTTCACCGCAGCCTCATCCATTGTTCATGTTTATTTGTTCTTCCTCGATCAAGATACCAACAATGTTCATGTTTATTTGTTCTTCCTCGATCAAGATACCAACAAATCCACCAAAAGCAGGAGCAGCAACATTTAAGACTTCTAGACTATGCTATCGGCCAGGGCCTCTTTAAGAGATCCATTGTCCCACTAAAATGGTGGCATCCGGAACAGCCTTCAGCCCTCAAACCACAGTACAAAGGGATCCGTTGGAAGAAGCTGTCTTCTTAGGAGCCCTCCAGACCACACCTGATCATCTGCCCCACCCATCTTCTTCTTGGCCAACTCTAGAATGGATCTCTAGTTTCCATGCTCTATGCCTTTGTCTGTCTTGACCCCACATCCATCCTTGGAAATTTTCTAGCCAAGATAGGACAGGGACCATTGAGGCCCCCATGCATATGACAAGCTGGAACAGGATGAGAGCTTTCGTATCACCACTCTGAACATGTTCAAAGCATGTGCCACCTAGTGATGTATGGGGACATTTGAATCAACCCAGCACTCTACAAGGGGGGAAATCTATCAAATCACATTCAGATAGTAACCATGAAATGATGTTCTTGGACAGAACGACAATGGGACATTTCTGTCCTGTCCAATCTATGGAGGGCTACACTCCACAGACATCAATGAGACACTGCAGCTTAAACACATAACCATGATGTATTACCTGACATCCACCATATTTTTGGAGCCTGCATTAAATAAAGGGTTAGAAGGTGAAAGGATGCACCTTGACAGTTGGAGGTCAAGGGTTCAAGAAGATGTTATCAATCGAGAAAGCCATTTCCTCAAATCAACACTGATAGCAATGAAGAAAGAGGTTCGCTTGGCCCCACTTCCAATCCTTAAAGATGGGGGGATCTTCTTTTGAAGGAGGCTGTATGTTCTATCGAAAAAGGTCAACTCTCGGTGCTTCAGTGCTTCGTTCTATCGAAAAAGGTCAGCTCTAGGTGCTTCGTTCCTTTAATGATCTTTAATGACAGATAATTGTCCCTTGTTTTACCCACTGTTGAGTGAAGCCTCCAGCTCTGTAAGCTTTCGTTTGGGGTCTCCTCTTCCTCTCTAAGATGTGCTAGGGACACGAGGTCAGCAGAATAAATAAACAGAGCATGCAGGTCTGCCTTATCTCATCCGTCTTTCAGCAGGGAATTTTTTGAGGGTGCTAATGTTTAAGGAAGCTATCTTTCCTGCACTCCCCATCCTGGCAAAAACACATCCTAGACAGGCCCAAACAGAGAGATAACAAATCACAGGTTGATATCAGGCACTCACAGCCTGTTTTCTAGGGTTAGCTATGATCATCAATAACTTAGCACCCTGACAAAGCTCCCAGCCCCTGTTGAGGCCATTTCTGTACCTTCCAGGACCTTGCCACAGTTTCCTTGGTGTTGCAGAAAACAAATAATCCTCATGGCTGGAGCTAAACTGGTATATGGGGCCATTCCATTCCAGGGTCCTACTTTATTTTGTCAACAAATGAGGTTTTCACCAGGTGATCTAATGTACTTGTTAGTCTTTCCAAAGAGATTAGCAAGATAAACCACTGAGCCCTTCCTAAGCTCTTCCCACTTCACGGAAAGCTGGCTAATGGCTGATAATCAATCGCAAACAGAAGTATGTGTTTGTGTATTGGGGGGGAGGGGAATAGGCCTTCTTGTACTATCAAGGTCCACCTAGTCCTATTCCTGCTGATTAGACTGCCTGTTTTTTTTAAATCATTCATGAATAACAATGGATCTGCCCATTTTTGTGGACGTATCAATGGTTTAATTCCTTTATGTAATACATGCTCAGTTTATACATGCGATGTGGGGTCACTTACACATCTATGCATAGTGCTGATTTGTTAATGCAAAAAAAAAAGTTTGAAAATACTTATATTTAGGTGAAACGTTTGACGCAGGGAAACAGAAAATGACACAAAAGCCATGTCGCACAGCTTCCGTTTGTGCAAAGGAAATTTCGTGGAATCGAACCCAGCCTTTCCAAGTTGAATCAGCAGGGATGTTAAATTCAGCAGCTTTAAGCCTACAACCATTCTACCTCCCACCATCACCCAAGCAGGGGTGTAGCTAAAACACTGACTTCCAAGGCTTCAGGGAGCAGTCAAGTGATTCGGTGATTTGATTAATTATCTATCACTGTATACCATTTATACAAATGGCAATGCAGTTTATAAGCATCTCTGCGAGCGTCGGGAGAAAGGCAAGACAGATAATTGCCATAAATAAATAATTTATGGACACGAACACACACATAAATAATTTATGCACACGAACACACACATGTGAACTGTGTGAACTGACCACACTCTGGCAGAAAGAGAGGTGCTAAAAGGTGTTGTTGTTGTTTTTCCAAAAGAGAAATAAAATTTGAATGGGTGTTGACTAGGAGGATTTCCTAGGTGGACGCTAAAGGTAGTTTGCATACCCTGACAGCATTCATGGTACGTTTTCACACACACCCTCCCCCCTTTACATGGCACCTCATTGGCAGAGTTATGGTAGTAGTAAGTTACCACGCTGCAATTTGGACTTTCTACCTTCAAGTCCCGTTCTCAATATCACAGTTTCACCCAACAATTTCTGCAGGGTTGCTTCAGATGACGCCGGGAACTGGCTGCAGGGTTGTGAAAGAAAGTCAAAAGAAGAGGGGAGGGGGCTCATGAGGACTGAAGGGAGGGGGGGAAATAAATTGTTTATAGAAGCCAGCTGCTCAGACGCTGGCGCCAGGAGCTCCTCCATCCTGCTATTTTACGCCTACGGTCCCTCTACCCCCCACCCTTACACCCTAGCACAGGTAAGAACTGAAACGGTCGACTTCCAGTGCTTCGGAGGGCGCTCAACTGATTCTGCAACATGATTAATTGCCGAAGACATGGCCGGCCATATGGAACAGGGAACGCATCAAGTAATTCATACTTCTGTATATGATCATTTTTGGCCCCTGTTGTTTTTAGCGTACAGGAAAAAAGAGGTAGTATAGCACAGACCTGGTGTCTTGCCCTTGACAGCCCATTAAGAACTCTCAAAGCACCTAGTTGAAGTTATGCTGTTGGCTTTTCAATAGCAGCCCAATAAAACAGGAGCAAAGCTTTTCCAGCGAGTCTTAAATCTTTCACATATAGTACATTAACCGCCGCTGCTAAAAAACAACTGGTTTCTTATGATAGGAAATGGGATTTGATTTCTAGCCTCTGCATACTTACCAAAAGCCTTTTTCCCTGACCTTTGGAAGGTTTAAAAAATTGGGGGGGGTCCCTCCCCCCCCCCCCCCGGTTACAATTTTCCAAGTTTCTTGCAGCGGCGAGCTTAATAGACTTGTTTAAGGGTCGGTACATTCTACTCTTGCAGGTTGCTATAAGCAGCCCGTACAATGAAAGCAGACTCAGGGGAGCTGAGAGGTAAGAGATTATTATTAAGTGCTTTCTCCCTTGGAGTCATAGAAATCACTACGACAGTTAAAGACCTCAGCTACCTTTAAGAAACCTATAAAGCAAACAAGGGATAGAAACGGGAGAGAGAAAAAAAATCTGAATGGAATATCCCAAACGCATGCTTGCGTTTATCAAGTTGGGGATGAATCACCAGGTTTTGTCAGAGAAAGTTGACTAGACGGATTCTCCTCTCTAGAATAATATTCATAGAATTTTTGTTTCATTTCTGCAAACAGACAAACCAAAAAAAGCACTGATTTGGTAAAGGGGGGTCAAATATACCCCAATTAAGTTAGTGTTTGGAAACAGATAATGAGATCTGTCAATAATATACACACATATGAAATTGTACTGAGGACAAATGATTGTAATCTGGGCCTGCAGCTATGAATGGATAGTATTTGGGATCGCTGACCCCAATCATAATTTCTGTGAGGGACTCATCGAATCCTGATTCACGTAACTTTTCTTTCAATTAAAAAAAATGAAGTCATATATGTTTATTTAAAATGAAGCAGCCTAGTGACCCACTGTCAAATCTTGCATACGCATTCATTCGCCAAATGTGGGGTCTAGATGACCATAAAACCACTGAACAACCATCCGATTTATTATAGGATAATACACAAGAGTAGGACACGGCAGAGTGGGAGAAAGGCGTCCATATTTGTTTATATCCCTTTGGGTCCCTTTCTGACCCCACCCTCAAGCATACCGTGGATATCTTTAAGCAAGTGAAAA